TCAGGAGTTGAAAGAAGTCGATTTGCAAAATTTGTTAATCTATCCATGCGTTCTTTAGGATTCACACGGGTATGTATAGCCATATCTTTCATAAGTGTGAAATTATTTCTATAAATTTAAGACAAAATAGTGCACAACGATTAAAAAAAGTTTTAAATCAAAATACTAATTTATATACCTCATGGCATCCGTTATACCAGTCATAATGCATAGCTCTGGAACAAGGTAAACCAACGTATCTTCAACTCCAAATCGTCTAACAGATTTTTTATTTTTTGAAATCAACATAGGTTGTCTGCCACCTCGAATAGTTATGTTCCATTTCTAATACAGTAATAAATATGTTAATTTAGGTCTCCAATTCTAAACATTTATCATTATAGTTATGTACTTCTTTGTAATATTGTATGTAAGTCATTTTGGACCCATCTTTTTTACTAAATTCAGAATTAGGGTCAGAATTTTCATCTATGTCATCAATTCTGTACGTTTCATTATTGTATTTTGTCATAACTGTGGTACCAACGACACTACTTTTGAAGTTAATCTAAATAATATCATGTATCAATTATTTTGTTATTTATTATTTGTAAATTATAATGAAATCATACAAAACTTTAATAAACTTACCATCCAATCTTTTTTACGGTTCCTATCACTAGCACACTGATTTAAAAAGTCCAATACAGTCTCTTGACGCATGACTTTTGTAGATATTTCAGCGCACAGTAAAATGTTATCTTCATACCTGCCAATTGTTGTTTCATAACCTGGCCAAAGTTGTAGCTTATGTTGAGCCATATCAATCTAAAAGAAATTATAAAGAGTCAGAAAAATAACAAATAAAATACTTATAGGATTGCAACATTTACTTTAGCATCAGGATCATAAAAGTTTCTTCCAATCAACGTCAGTTTAAGATGTCGAAGACAATTACGCAAGAGTAAGTTGAAAACTTGTATGTTAGCATAATCACCGGTTTCTATAATATTTGTGAACTTCACTGTTATGATTACAATTTGATCATCCTGTCGACGTGTAGATGTAAGTTCAAAAGTCTAAACCAAAATATATAAATTGATTTTATTCAACATTCTTAATGGATTGATAATCACTTAATATTAATTAATGACACTATATTGATCATAGTTATCTAATCTAGCTGTAAACATACTTTAATGTAATGTATTAATTTAATTGTATCGTTATTGATATTTTATAACCAAGAACAATGCCCAAAAATCCTAATTAACTAAAAATATTATATTAATCATTAACAGCTTTATGCTATAACTTACAGGTGGGTCAAATCGGCTTCCAGAAAATAACATTGTTCCGTCAAATAAATATCCTCCCAAACGTTCTCGGTGCTGAGCTAATAGTCCTCTTTTAGTACTAATTCTATCTTCTTCGGGATTGAAATCAACTCGATATTGGTACAAACACCAATTTGTATATGAAGTGATAGGAAAGTAATTTGCCAACAGTTTTACTGGCTGTCCAGAAGTTCCTGTAGTACATAATACAGAATCACAATGTAAATATTGTTAATTTTGTTTTAAATTTTTTTTAACATTTATTTAAAATATGGTCTTTACAATCATCAATTTTACCAATATTATAGTACTTTTTATAGCAATGAAAGTAATTTTATTGAAAAATTTCATTAAGGAAATTTGCAAATTATAAGTATAAACTATAAATTGTATAATTGGTGTTAAGTACATATATATCTATCCTAAGACTGAGATTTCAATGTATTTGCATCTTGTTTATG